TTCTGTTTTATGACAGATTCGATTTTTCCAGACAGGACATTCAGGGAAAGGTAGTGAACATCAGATGTTTGAATTTTAGGAAAGTACATTTGCTTTGTAGACAAATGAGAAAAAAGAGCCAGGATGTGAAGATGGGAAGATGGACTAGAAATCCTTTGAAAACAATGGATCCAGTCAACAGTTGTCCATGGATGACCAAAACATTAGGAATAGTTGGATGGGGGCAGCCCCGGTGGCTCAACGGTTTAGCTCCGCCTTCCACCCCGGGGCCTGATCCTGGAGACCCAGGAGCACGTCGGGCTCCCAGCATGGAGCCTGCTTCTCCCTCTGCCTGTGTCTCTGCCTCTCTCTCTCTCTCTCTCTCTCTCTCTCTCTCCTTCTGTGTCTCTCATGAATAAATAAATAAATAAATAAATAAATAAATAAATAAATAAATAAATAAATAAATAATCTTAAAAAAAAAAAGGAATAGTTGGATGGGAGATTTATAAAGGTGGGGTCAGGCTGGTGGCATCTGAATGCCCTGATCAGTCTTAGTTATCAGCAAGAAAGAGACACCCAGACTTCATGTCCTCCTGATGGAAGTTTCCAGCACTACCGATCGAGAATTGAAGCCAAAAATACCAATATTGAAGCCATCAGGGAAACCTGTTAAATCACCCCTTAGGACTGCCATCAGCCAATTCCAAACTATGGGAAACTTTCCAGGACAAAGAGCCTGGTTTCTTCAACAAATGAGTTAGGACAGAATGGAGGGAAGGAAGAAGGGAAGAAGGAAGGATGGAAGGAAGGAAGAAAAAATAGGCTGTTAAGCCTCGTTAAACAAGGTTAAATAGGTTTCACAAGGAAAGCTTGTTAAACGGCACTTCAGAAGGGTGCCTGGCTGCCTCAGCTCATGATCCTGAGATCCTGGGATCGAGCCTGTGTTGGGTTCCCTGTTGAGCAGGAAGTCTGCTTCTCCCTCTCCCTTTGCCCTCCCCACCCCTGTTCATGCTTTCCCTCTCTCTCTCTCTCTCTTTCTCTCTCGTAAATAAATAAAAATAAATAACATCTTTAATTAAGAAAAAAACTTTGCATACAACAGAGATTCATTAACTAAATGCCACAAGAAGACCTTGTTTGGATGGATTCCGAGTCAAACAAATGCTAAAAATGAAAATAGAGACAGGGAAATTTTTGACACTGATTGATACTTTTGATAAGTGCGATCATAGCATTGTGGTTAAGTTTTAAAAAGTTTTGCTTTCTTCTAAAAATAAAAAGTGGAAGAAAAATGACGTGTTCTCTGATTTTCTTTAAAAAAAAACTCAGAAAAAAAAACTCAGTGAGTAGTCATTGAATCAGACAAGAATAGATGCTAAATGACTGAAAATTTGATAAGCAATAGGATATTTACAGAATCTCAGAGTACCTCCCCACAAAATACATAAAAATTACGAAGAAGGAAATAGTAACTTTCAAGAGAACTTTGGCAAATGCCACCAAGTGATCAAAGTTAACGTTGCCAGTGATCAAAGTTAACGTTTCTGATTGAGAAAAAACACATTACTTCTGTGGTATTTCTGCCAAAAATGCATAACCTGAGTTTAATCATGAGGAAACATGAGAAAAACTCAACTGGAAGGACATTCTGCCAAGTAACTGACCTATATTTTTCAAAAATGTCAAGGTCATGAAAGACAATGAAAGGTTCAGAAACTGTTCCAATTGAAGGAAACTAAAAAGACAACTGAATGCAACAAGTGATCTGGGATATTCTTTTGCTCTAAAGGTCAGTAATAGGACAATTGGTGAAATCTGATTAAAGTTTATAGATTCCTGATTTTGATAATTTTACTAAGGTTATAGAAGAGAATGCCTTGTTCTTAGGAAACATAGTGAAGTATTTAGGTAGGTAGGTGGAGGGATGGATGGATGGATGGATGGATGGATGGATGGATGGTGGCGGGAAGGGGAGAGAAAGAGAGAGAGAGAGAGATCAAGGTACATGGGATAGGAGTCAGGACCCTTGATAAGTGGGCATCTGTCCTTATCCAGGACCAATTTCTCTGAACCCTTTTATATGAGGGAAATCAATTTCCCTCTCTTAAATTACTATTATTCTGTGTTTTCTTTCATCTGCAGCTGAGTCTAAACTTGGTATCATAATTAAAAGAAACATTCCAAAAATCATGAAATAATAAGTGAAAGCTACAATGTCATTCACAGTAATAATGGTGGTAAGACTTACAAATTCTTGTTGAAAAGATGGCATCATACCAAGAGGGTTCAGTGGCTCAGAGGCTGTGGAAACCAGATCCAGAATCTAGAATTGTGCTGTTGGTAGTGTAGCCAATGGTGACACATGGCTATTTACTTTTAAATTAATTAAAATTAAGATTCAGCGCCTGTATCACACTAGCCACATTTTGTGTTCTAGAAGCTTAAGGGCCTGCATTTCACCAGGTTACTCTAGGTGATTCCAATGCTTCCTAATGGCCAACAGTCTCCATAGGGAAAAAGGAGGTCAAAGTCCTCTTGCATCCCTGTTGCTTGGTCTGTTCTGTTCTAGGCTCCAAAATTTGAGAGATGTGAGTAAATTAGACCTTCAGGCCAGGATATTGAGGAGGATCAGATGCGACTAGTTTTCTTTTCTTTTTTGTTTTTTTTTCTTTTTTTTTTTTGTTTTTTGTTTTTTGTTTTTGTTTTTTGTTTTTTTGGCTACAGTTTTCAACCAAGGACTTCCTGGGTTCAAATCCCCATCCCTCCACGCATGTGCTATGTGACCTTGGTTAGATTACTTGACCTCTCTGGTGACTCAGTTTTTTTGTTTTATTTTTACCTGTCAGAGTGCCAGTAATAGAGTCTACAGAGTACTCCAAACTGGTGCTTTTTCTATTTTCTTCACAGGAAACAAACTTAATACTCACTGATATGACCAGCTTTGCTTTTGCTTTAATTCACTCACAAGCACTTACTGAGCACCTACTGTGTCCTCACCACTTTTCTGAATCCTGGGGCAAAGCAGCGAACAAGACAGACACAAACCACCTCCAACCCTGCAGTCAAAGAACTGGCATTCTGAAGGGGGAGGTAGAAAATAAGCAGGATATGGGACACCTGGGTGGCTCAGCAGTTGAGCGTCTGGCTTTGGTTCAGGGCGTGATCCTATGATCCCAGATCGAGCCCCACATCAGGCTCCTTGCGGGAAGCCTGTTTCTCCTTCTGCCTGTGTCTCTGCCTCTCTCTGTGTCTCTGTCTCTCATGAATAAATAAATAAAATCTTAAAAAAAAAAGAAGCAGGATGAAGAAGCAAAATGTCTTGCATCTAAGAGAGTAAGTAGCAAGGTACGCAGATAGGACCAGACATGTACGCATGGCCAGGCCTCACCCACAGTGATATTTATCGTAGGCCCAAAGTGTGAGAGAGGATTGAGGCACAGGCATATGTGGAGGAAGATCACCCAGGCAGAGGGAACAGCAGGTGCAAAGGCCCTGCAGTGGGAACATGCCAAGTCCTATTTAAGATGCTAGAGTCACAGTGGTAAAACAGATGCCGTCCTGGGACACCTGGGTGACTCAGCGGTTGAGCGTCTGCCTTAGGCTCAGGTCGTGATCCTGGGATTCAGGATCAAGTCCCACATGGTGCTCCTGCGAAGAGCCTGCTTCTCCCTCTGCTTGTCTCTGCCTCTCTCTCTCTGTCTCTCTCATGAATAAATAAATAAATCTTTAAAAAAAAATAGATGCCGTCCTATCTTCAAGGCGCTCACATTTTAATGGGGGTAGGAGACAGATTAGCTGATCTATAATGTCCTCCCAGGTGATAAGCAGGAGAGGGACTCATAGAGAAGGTGGTCAGGGCAGGCCTCTCTGAGGAGGTGGTATTTGAGCAGAGGCTGGAAGGAGGAGGTACAGAAAGCAGGTGTGTATCTGGGGGAAATTTATTGACTCTGGCCTGACCGGTGCCTCTTCCTCCCTTTCCTTCCACTCAACTGGAGCTCGGGTTTGCAAACAGAGGTTGTCTGTGAACTACTGGAGGGGAATTCTGATGGGGAGTGCAGACCTCTCAGCCTCTGGCTGCTGTGTGCCCCACTCCTTCTCTTACTGGCTGCTCCAATATTTGCGTTGGTGTGTTGGGTGGGGCTCTAGCTTAGGGAACTGACTTCCCCATTAAAACTCCAAATCTGTCTTCAAAGGAGCCGCTGGGCCCTTTGCCTCTGGGCAGAAGGGAGTGTCATCCTGGAGCTGAGCTAGGAACCCACCCCCCAGCTGTGTCCCATCTGGGTTTCTCCTGATTCAGAGTGGGTCTGGCAGCGCATGCTCCCCACTCCTCCCATGGCAAAGAGGGGGTGGAGGATACTCTCTCTGGCCCAGTGGCAGAGCTGGCAGGATCCAGAGTCAGCCCAGCGAGATGTTGAAATTACTTGTACCGGGTTGTAAATTGTTCCTGCCTGAGTTCACATCCAGACAAAGGCTTGCTCCAACTAGCTGTGTGACCCTGAACAGCTCACTTACCTTCTCTGAACCCGTGTCTCCTCCATAGCTCATAGTAACTCCCACCTTCTGGGGATTCACGTCTTGGAAGGTGCTTGACAAAAGTTATCCATTCCTTTGGGGAATACTGAGCCCTGGAGGGTTATCTGGAGCCCATGTCCCTCAAGACCATCTCCCAGGGAGGAACATGCATGTGAGATGAAGTAGGGAGCCTCCCCACACCCGCCAGCCTATCTTTGAAGGGAGGCAGGGAGGCCTGGAGTCTAATTAATCACTGGGAAGGGCCAGACAGATGCCCTAGGGGAAAGGTCAGCATTTACCCTGGTCTTCTCAGAAGTCACTGCAATCCTAGCTTGGGCGGGACTTGGGGTTGGGGCACAAAATAGGAAGGCTGGCAAAGTATGAGTGGCCTGGGCAGCAGACACCCTCCCCATCCCATCCACCCTCCAGCCACCGGGTGTTGTTAGGGGAACAGTTAGTTAGGGGAACTGCTGCCTTAAAGGCTCAAAACACAACCACCACCAGAATGAGAGATTGAACCGTTTATTGGCCTGGGCCCAGGTCTCAGGCACGGGGGGCATCTGGGGAGCTGTATGGGGGAGACAAACCCCCGACTGGCTCCTTGCCCCCCAAGACCCCCTCCCCCAGCCTTTGCATTCACAAGAAAGCACTTTGAGGCATGAGGTTTCCTTCCCCAAGAGCTGTACCCCAGCTCCCAAGGGGGAAGATGAGCCAGCAATTACAAAGGGGGCCTGTGCAGGGACCGGACCCCTCTTTGGCAGCTTCAACACACATGTGAGACCACAATAGCATCCATTCTGGGGGAGCATGGTGGGGAGAGGGGATCACACACATCACTGACACACACATGCACACATGCACACAGACACACATAAATATTCATTTGTACCGCAACGTCCCTTCCATCTATCCATGGAATTTAGCAAAGTCCTTCTGGTGCAGCTGAGGGGAGAGTACCCCACAAGTGTCCTTGGCACCCCCACCCCCATGCTCCTCCATACAATACAACTGGAAAGGAGATACAGCGGGCTCAGCTGGGCTCGAGGTGGAAGTATCTTGGGGAGGGGGGTTAGGAGTGGGGATCCTGTGCAAACAGCTCCCCTAGAACCTTCTCAAGTTTCACCCTTTCCCACCAGGAGGCCCAGAGTCCTACTCAGCCCCCCAGGCCAGTTTTTCCAGCCCTTGGTGATGCTTCAGTGCCCCCAAATAGTGCAATTGGACAGTGAGGTCTGAGAATGCCATCCAGCGCCGCCTCCACCCTGTGGTTCCCCAGCATCTCGTGGAGAGAGAGAGGAAAGGGAAGAAGTAGCCAAAGTGGCAGCTGGTGAAATTTAAGGAAGCTGTGGATTTGGGCCTTGCAACTGTTAGCCAGAGCCACCCAGGACAGTCAGGGAGGAGGCCTCCAGCGTCTGGGGACAGTGGTTCTGGGGAAGTGGCCTAAGGTTGCCAGAAGGTAACAGGGGGTCTAGACTCGGAGAGGGAAGTTTTGTACAGGGCAAAGGGCCAGAGAGTCGTGAAATGTTGAAATCCCTTGGACCAGATTGTAAATTTTTCCTGCCCTGAGTTCCCCCTGAGTGCTTGTCTGCTGTGCCACCTGAGTATCTGCCTGCTGTAACCCAGGCCCTTTCCAGGTCCTCCAAGCCTCCCCACGATCCAGTTCTAAGGTGTCACAACAGTTACCACACTAGCCTCTGACCCTGATGCAGCTCTGCCCGGTGTGAAATATTTTCAATATCACCCAGGTCTGCGGAGTGGGGGCATCTTGCTTGGCAGCCCCACATCTCTGTCCAAGGTCCCCTGTGCCTCCCCACAGAGTCCTCTGCCATGGTCTGGTGGCCCACTTGCCCCTCAGACTATCGTGTTGTCCTCCAGAAACATGGGCGACGTGGGCATGTGCGTGCCCCTCTCCAGTGAGCTGGAGCTGCGGAGAGGCAGGAGCTGATGGCCCGGGGTCCCACCCCGCCGTCCTTGAACCCCTGCCGCCTGCTTGCAGCACTGCAGTGGCCGCAGTACCTCCCGCCGCAGGTCCCGGCTGCGCCATGTGTAGATGACAGGGTTAAGCAATGAGTTCAGGGTGGCGAAGGCAAAGAAGTAGTGGGCCTTGTAGAGGATGGGGCAGGACCGGACAGGACAGGCATAGTCCAGGAGCAGGATGCTAAAGGCAGGCAGCCAGCAGACGATGAAGACCCCCAGCACAATGGTGACCGTCTTGAGCAGGGCCAGCGTCTGTGGGCCAGCCACATCGGCCTGGCTGGAGCGGACCACACAGTAGATGCGGACATACAGAGCGACGATGGCCAATAAGATGACAGAGAAGATGGTTACCACGCAGAGCACATAGTGCTTGGTATAAAGCGGCAGAACAGTGGAACAGGCCTCGAGATGGCCCAGGCAGTTCCAGCCGAGGATGGGCAAGCCCCCGAGAGCAACCGAGATGAGCCACGAGGCTCCGATAAGCAGCAGCATGCGGCAGCTCTTGTCGCTGCCGTAGAGCTTGACCTTGGCAATGGCCACGTGCCGCTCAATGGCAATGGCCAAGAGGCTGAAGACGGAGGCGGAGAGTGTGATGAAGGCGGAGCCCTCTCGGGCAAACCACTGTATGGGTGTCAGCCCCAGCGTGACCGGGCCCGAGAGCAAAGTATTAGCTACGAAGGCCACTCCAGTCAGCAGGTCCGAGGCAGCCAGGTTGCCCAGGAACAGGTACATGGCTGAGTGGAACTTGCTGTTGCGAGCAACTGCAATCAGCACCAGCAGGTTCTCTACTACGATGGCAAAGCAGAGGATGATGATGATGACCAATGCCGCCTGGCGGGAGGCCGTCTCCTGAGTGTCCAGCGTCTCCTTGGTGTAATTATAGTGTTCCCGGACCTTGTTGGGGCTTAGGTACTCTGAGTACAGGTTGCCCATGGTGGGGCTCAGTGGCCGGCCAGGGCCATGGGGCTGTCAGAGCTGCAGAGAGGAAAGAGAGACAGACAGACAGGTCAGTGCTGTGGCTACTTCCCTGGGATGTGACTCTGGATGGCTGTGGTTTGAATCCCAGCTCCCTCACTTCGCACGGAGTAGCCACATGAACTCAGAAGTATTATCGTCCCTAGTTTACCAATGGGAAACTCAGAGAGGTCAATTCACTTACTCTAAGTCTTACAGCTAGAAAGTGGCAGAGCCAGAGAACCACTCCAAAGCCTCTATAACCTCTAAGCTGCACAGTCTTTCAAAAGAACATAAGCTCAAAAAAAAAAAAAAAAAAAAAGAACATAAGCTCCCCCCAAATAGTATGAGGGACACAAAGTAAACTCCCAGAACTCTTGCTCACCTACCCAGACCCTTGGACAGGGCCTGGAGGGCTCGTCTCCCTTCTGGAATACACTAGAGCCTGGGATCTCATGCCACCTGCCAACCTGGGTCAGCAAGATGCTGGCTGCTGATAGAACCATCCCCTGCTCATTACCACCCACTGCCCTGGGTTTCAGGCTGCGTCTAAGCCTTGCAGCCAAGGGTGCTCCCAAGATAAGGTCTTGGGGAGACACCAGGGTGGCCCTGAGGTTTAAACATCTCAGAGGTCAAGCACCTTCAAGGACAAAGACCTTGGAGGCAACCCAGGGTTCAACCCCCACTCCACCTGACATGCTGTGGGACCTTGGGGAAGTCACTCAACACTCGGCCTCTCAGCCCCAATGTCCTCATCTGTGCAATGCGGAACCCCATACTCTATGGGGTAATGGGAAAATCCTGTTGAATGGTCCATGAGGTACCCTTAGCACATAGCAAGCACTCAATAAATACTAGCCAATGTATTAGCTCCCCTCTTTCTGCCACACACACACACACCTAGGGACTAAGTGCCCTCCGTTCAGTCTCTGAGGAGGGGATGCAGACTGAGCTAGGCAGGCAAGACTCCCAACATCCTGTTCTCATCAGCATCATCTAGCCCTGCCCTGAGACAGAGGGTCCCAGCGGGGTGGGCAGGGCGCTGGCATCCCCCTCCCTCCCCAGCCAGGATGAAATCCAGATGTGAGGCCCCTGGAATAAACAGGGTGGAGTCCTCACTTCCCGGTCACATCCGGTGTGGGAAGGGCTGGGAAGGGGTGATGGGCTGGGGGAGCCACAGGAGACCAGTCTGGGAGGTCCTGGCTCCCTGGCTCTGGGAGGGATGGGGCAGCTGCTGCAGCGCTGAAGTCATGTGAGCCTGTGAGCCGAAGAGGGGGCGAGCCGCACCGCGGGGGAGGGGGTTGAGGGGAGGAGGGGGGACGGCATTTGTTTCCATGAAAGACTGAGTCACCCCCCTCTCAAGGAAAACTGAGCCGTGGGGGGAGGGGGCGGGAAGCAGCGTGGGCAGAGAGGCCAAGAGGCCAACATCACGGCCCCTTCTTCCTGGCCTGGTGGTGGTGGGTGTCTCAGAGGAGCTGGTGGAGGGTCTGTCTTTCCCGAGGGGAGCCCGGAGGAAGCCCCAGCCTCTAGCTAAAGGGGGGAGGGCGCGGGAAGCCCTCCCTCCCCAGGTCCCTGGAAACATGCCTGGCAGGGACCACGTGTGCTCCAGGAGTATCGTGTGGTTCCAGCAAAGGCTGGTTAGGCCGGTTCCTAGTGAGCCTGGGAATTATGGGGGGCTTCCGGGGTCACCCAGCCATGTCAGTCCCCGGACGCCCCCTCCGAGGGGCGCCCTGGTCCCGGGCCTGAGCAGCAGAGCCAGCTGCTCCCCTTGGGTGAAGGGGCATCCGTCCTAGTTTGGAAACAGAGAAAGGCTTGTGCGCATCCCTGGAGACTGCCGCCCCGCCCAGATCGCCACACAGAGGCCCCTTGTTCCCCTGCCGGGCCGGGCTCTGGACGCCCCGATGCCCTCTGCCCGACGCAGGCTGCAGCGGCCGGGAGCTCGCCTGGCCCTGGCCTCGGCCTCATCCGACCGGCCTTCGGGGAGAAAGAGCCCGCGCCCTGATTGGCTTGTTTTCAATCCCCGGCCTTGAGCGATTCGCCCATTGGCCGGAGCGTTGCATCCTCCACCTTTGATTGGCCCGCTTGGGGGCGCTCTAAGGAAAGCGCTAGGGCCGCGTCCTTCACAGGCCGACCACTTCTTTCAGAGAACAGAGTTAGGGCTGTGTGGATGTCCCTGGGGAGAGTATGAACCGCGGCCTGACCGCCGGGTCACGCAAACCAGACGCCCCCAGGCTGCCCTGGCCTACTGGGCCCCTTTTGGGGTTCATGACTGCGAATCAAGGGCCCCTTGCAGGCCTGGGAAGCATGGTTGCTGGTGGGCTAAAAGCCCAGGGTGTGTCCGGTCGTGACCCCCTTCACCCCTCCCTCACATGGGGCCACCAGCCTTCTGGCCTGGCAGCCCAGAGTAAGATTTATGGATGCTTCCTGGAGAAATAAAAATTGAGTTCGGTCCTCATACCCCAGAAACCCACGGAAAAGTCTGTCTTCTTGGGGGAGGGAGGGGGTGCAGCAGAGGAGGGGGGGTGGAGGAAGCCCACACGCTCACTTTCTGCAACCCTCAGCCCTTGGAGGTTGATCCTCAGAAGGGGAGGTAGCTCGGCTAGTTAGAGAGGGAGAAACTGAAGCCCACACTGCCCCCTCCTCTCATCTTCCCCAGGAGGATTTTGCTGAAGATAGAATTTAAGGCAGATTCATGCTTCCCAGAAAGAGGAAGCGGGGCCTGGATGGAGACTGACAAAAGAGGCACACTCCCAGGCAGAGACAGGCCTTGGTGGCTTCCCCTCCCTGTGTCGGCCTCCCAGACCTGGCTAAACACAGGGCCTGTCTCCTGCTCACCTTCACCAAGGCCATCCTAACTTCTTCCCAGAGGCTCAGTAAGAGGTCACTGGGCTCAGAAACGGGGAATGGCTAGGCCTGAAATGGAATGAGAGGGACAAGTGACAGGGTTTGGAGGGAAGGGAAGATAGACCAAGACTGTGCAGGAGGAGATTAGAAGAGAGGAAGGACAGAGGAAGCCTCAGCGGCTTCCAAGAGCCCTACTCCGAGTTCCACTGAGGCAGGCCCTGTGTTTACAGGTCCATGGCCACTCACTGATCTGCTCCACTTACGCTAGCTAGTGCAGCGCCTCCACCCTTTCTTTTGGTTTCCCTTCGGGGGTCAGGCCCACCCTTCGCTGCCATTCTCCATGCAGCGGCCAGGGGGAGCCATATAATGCACAATTCCAACACAATGCGTCACTCCTTGAGCTCCAAATCCATCCATGGCTCCCCACGGCCCAAAATGACCTGGCCCCTGCCCAGCTAGCCCCCTCTCCCCAGGGCCTCTCCCCCCAGGGCCTCTCAACTCTAACCACACTGGCCTCCTAGGTTGCCACCTCCATCCCTACCTCAGAGACTTTGCTCTGGCTGTCCTTCCACCTGGCATGCCGTTCCCTCACATCCGGGAATGACTGTCTCCTCCTCTTTCGGGTTTTGGTTTTAGGATCACTGGCTCGGAGGGGAGGGGGTCTCCTCTGACCCTCAGTCTATCACAGCCACTTTCTCCACGGTCTATTACAGCAGCCTGCTTTAGTATCTTCACACAACCCGCCAGCCTCGGAGATTATCATTGTATTTTTTGTGTTCTGTCTGGCTTCCGTAGAATAAATGAGTGTTGGGGGCCAGCGACCAGGTCCGTTTTCAGCCCCTTGGGCATGATGCCTGGCATTCAGAAGGTGCTCAGAAAACTTGTGTGATGGATGGATGGATGGATGCATGGATGGATGGACAGACGGACGAAACAAACGAAGCCCCGTGGGACCCCAAGGGTAGAGGCACCTAAACTCGGCCTAGCCCCCAAACAACAGCCAAGGCTGGAGACCCCTCTGGTGGCCGGCAGCCCTCCGGCCAGGCGGCCAGGCGAAGCCCAGCGCGTCTCCGTGGAGACAGCGGCAGGGCCCGCCCCCGCCCTCGGCTGCAGTCTAGGCCTCCTTATCTGGCGGTGGAATGCGCGGTATCCGCACTCGCTCCCGCTGGGGCCGCGCCTCCTCTCTCGCGACAGCCACACGCGAGGAACCCCTACGTCTCCCGTGGGGGCTGGGGACCCCCTGCGGCCCGCCAGGGGCTTCTCCGGGTATTCCCGAAGGACTTAGCGGCGGGAGTGTGTGTGTGTGTGTGTGGGGGGGTGGTCCCAGCAGCAGCCGCACCGCCAATACGAAACCCGCCGTCGCGCCACGCGGGGGGACCGTGGGCTCAGCGCGTGGCGCCCGGGGCATCTGACTGCGGCAGAGTCGGGGAGGGCATGGAAATCCCCGGGTGAGTCAACTCGTGCCGGAGGAGGGGGCGAGGTTCCGACGCTCTGCTGCGCAGGGGACCACACGGGGTCCGCGCCACGGGTGACTGCACCCCCGCCCTGTCCCTGGGCCCCAGGTGAAAGGAGAGGCGCGGGACTCACGCACTCACGTGCCCTTTCCTTCCAGAACAAAGCCACGCCCCCGAGGGGGTGACTGAAGACCAACTACTCGGGGAAACTGAGGCACGGAGGCAGACCTGCAGGCGGAGGGCAGACTGCCCTCCCCGGGGACCCCGCCCCTTGGCTTAGAAGCCTGGCGGCGCGCGGCACCTCTCGCTCTCTCGCAGCCGGAGTCGGCCAGGGGGAGGGCCCTGCCCCTCGGAACCCTCCCCCCGAGCCCCCCGGCCCGGACCACGGCGTTCTGCCGCTCGGTCTCCGGCCGAAAACGTTTCCAACTTCCTGCCGCCGGGGAAGGCGGGGAGCTCAGTCTGGGGGTTCGCTGCCGAGGCTGGAGGGGCCGCCTGGAGTCGTGGGGAGGGCGCGCGGTGACCACTCCCTCCGTGCAGCAGGAGCGCGGGCGGCGCGTGCGCGCCCCGCTGCGCCCCCAACCCCTGGCCTGGCCCCTGCAGCTCCGATCCTGCGACTCAGAGAACCCCCGGGCCCGTCCTTTCTGCCTCCCCCGTCGCCCGGCACACTCACCTGGCTGGGCCGGCCCGGGTCCCTGCCCTGGCCGGAGGAGCTTCGGTGTCGGCGTCCCCGGGACGGCATCGGCAGGGGCTGGGGCTGCCCGCCGAGCTGGGACTGCGTCCCGGGGATCGGGACCGGGGACGGAGGGGGCGGGGAGAGACACCGCCTAGGCCCCCCACTCGCCCCGCCCTCCTCTCCTCCCCTTTCCGGGCGGCTGAGGCAATGAATTCCAGATGTGGCGGGTCGGGCCGGAGCGCGCGCTGCTACGGCGGGGGAGGCGCGGGGTCCCTTTGTCCGCCCCCCCACCCCTCGCCCTGTCCCTCCCAGCCCCCACTCGTGAGAACCTGCCGGCGAGTGACGTCACGCGGCTCCGTGACGTCGCGTCTGTCCTAGCCAGGTGGCCTCCACCTGAAACAACTGTCTTTGTATATCTTTGTAGATATACTCTTGGCCCATCCCTGGGACCCTGGAATTGGAGGAGAGCATGAGATCCCCTTATTTACTCAACAAGGAGCCACCGAAGCACCTACGTGTCAATGCAGCAAATAAGTATGAAGTGCCTACTCTGAGTTCCTTCCAACAAATAATCAAGTTCCTACCACGTGCCACGCCCTGTCCCAAAGACAGGATTCGTTTTTTGCCTTGATAAGACCTCAGAATTCAGAAAAGACCCCTATAAAACTGGGAGCACCCAAAAGTCTACCCTGCCTCTCCTGATGGATGACTGTCCCGCCCTTGCTGTGGTCAACCAGACAAGAAGGCCCAGGTTTATCCTGCCTTCCAACCTGGGGCCCCATCTTCTCTACAATTCTTTGGTTTCCCTCTCTTTTCTTCATTCAGCTTCTCCTAGGCATCTCTGTGTGCCTAGCTGCTAGGATGGAAGGACACCTTCATTTACTGATGCACATACATGTGTGTGTGGTGAGAAATTTGTGGCTGGACAACATGATAGGAGAACCTTTCATTCCTTCAACAAATATTTTTGGTATACCTACTGGGCACAGCAGTGAACCAAATTGGAAAAAAAGTTCTCACCCATGGAGCTTATGTTCAGGTGCAAGAGACAGCCTTTTAGGAGGGTACTATTTGTGAAAATGCATACATAACCTTCTTATATATCTACCAGGTACATTAAGCACCTACGATGTGCCAGACAGTATCCTAAAAGGCTGGAGGTAGATCTGGAACAAAACAGAAAAAAATCCTGACCTTATGGAGCTGTGGTTCTACCACATGAACTCAAAATATCCAGAATATTGCAGGAAGAAAAACTAGTGAATTCTCTAGGAGATGAAGTGAAAGAGACAAGGCATGGGAGGGAGGCCGCTTTCATTCTAGGAACCCTCTCCTGCCTCGTGATTTTTGTAACATGTGCATGTGTGTCCTATACCAATAATAAATTAAATAAAAAATTAACTGCTGGAGGGGAGCCTGGGTGGTTTGGTCCGTTAAGTGTCTCCCGTCGGCTCAGTTCATGATCTTTGGGTCCTGAGATTGAGCCCTGCATTGGACTTCCTGATCAGTGGGGAGTCTGCTTCTCTCTCCTTTTTTTTAAATTAATTTTTCTTTTTTTTTTTTCTTTTTTCTTTTTTTTGAGAGAGAGCATGAGAACACGAGCTGGGTGAGGGGCAGAGGGAAAAGCAGACTCCCTGCTGAGCAAGGAGCCTGATGCGGGGCTCAGTCTCAGGACCCTGGGGTCACGACCTGAGCTGATGGCAGCTGCTTGACCAACTGAGCCACTCAGGTGCCTCGTCTCTCTCCCTCTTCTCTGCCTCTCCCTCTCCGCACTGCTCATTCTCTCCCTCTCTCTCTCTCTCTCAAATAAGTTAATAAAATCTTTAAAAAATTATTAAAAAAAGAAAATGCGATACACACACAATGAAATATTATTCAGCCACGAGAAAGAAGACAATCCTGCCATTTTCAACAGCGTGGATGCACCTGGAGAGATTATACAGAATGAAATAAGCCGAGCAGAGAAAGACAAATACTGTTTGGTATCACTTATGTGTGGAATCTAAACAAAACAAAACAAGGTCAAACTCAGAGAAACAGAGAGTAAGGAAAGTGGTGATTGCCAGAGACTGGGGTGGGTAGGTAAAAGGGAGAGTTTGGTAAAAGGGGACAAACTTGCAGCTGTAAGATGAATAAAGTCTGAGGATCTAATGTAAAATGTGGCAACTGTATTTGCTGACACTGTATTATATAATTGAAATTTGCTAGGAGAGTAGAACTTTAATATTCTCACACACAAAAAACATAAACATGTGAGATGACGAACGTGTTAATTAATTAGCTTGTGAGCTCTTTCACAATGTGTACATATATCAAATCAGCTTGGTGTATACTTTAAATGTCTCACAGTTTTATATGTCAATGATATTTCAGGAAAACTAAAATTAAAAAATAAAAAAACAAGGTGTCTTGCTACCAATGAAACCAATAGAAGAGAGAGGTTTGGTGCACTCTTCTGTATGTATATTATATTTCATAAAGAGTGTTGAAAAGCAAAATGATACAAAAAGAAATTAAAATTGATCCATTTATGCCTATTAAAAAGTAAAAATGGGTTAGTCTTGATGTGAAACTGTCTTCAAAGTGTTAAGGTGAAAATAAGCATAATGTAGATCAGTTTGCATTGCTTGCCTTCATTTCTGAGTGTATTTTTAAGGGCTGTATAAATACACACACATTTGCCTGTGGGCTCACAGGCCACCTCTGGGAGATGGCACAAGATACCAGTCACAGCGGTTACCCTCTGGGAGGGGAACTGGGGACAGGGGAACAGGTGACAGGGGGCCAGATTTTTATGGTGTACCCTGGGGGACTGTTTTTTAGTTCGTATTCCGAATTTTAAAAATTGACAAAGATATGAAAAATTAAATAATAGGTAACAAATCATCAGACTTCTAGTCATAAAATTGTTCTTATAATAAAAATAATAACAAATATCAGTAATATCAACAATAACATGACTAATAAACATATAAGTATTATTTAACATGTTGCTATTAAATAAATTGATGTCAATAATAAACATACTATTAAAAAGAATAAACAGGGACACCTAGGTGGCTCAGTGGTTGAGCATCTGCCTTCAGCTCAGGGCATGATCTCGGGGTCCTGCGATCAAGTCCCGCATCAGGGTCCCTGCAGGGAGTCTGCTTCTCTCTCTGCCTGTGTCTCTGCCTCTCTCTCTCTCTCTGTGTATGTCTCTCATGAATAAATAAAATCTTAAAAAATAAAAATAATAAGCATATTTAAGTTATTCATAAAGAAATGAACATTAAAAATCAATATATTCGCACCTGCCTAGCTCAGCAGGTGCAATTCTTTTTTTTTTATTATTTTTATTTATTTATTTATTTTTTTTTAGCGGGTGCAATTCTTGATCTCAGGGTCATGAGTTCAAGCCCCGCATTGGGCACAGGGCCTACCTAAAAAAGAAAGAAAAGAAAAGAAAAGAAAAGAAAAGAAAAGAAAAGAATCAATATATCAATGCTACCTATAGGTACACAGCACATATATTCATTTATTACTCGGTGCTAGCTCTGGTTATGTCTCACTGGTTTCTGTCATCCGAAAGTGACTGTCTGATGGAAGAGGGAAGAAATGAGATCATTCTAACATAGGTAGCAGGGCTCCGATGGGGAGATAAGAAAAGTCAGATAATGACTTTGCTCTTTTTCTGGAGCCAGATTATAGAGTCCACTTAGTTCCAGGCCAGATCTTGGGGTCCAATTGGACCTACAGAAAACCTTTGCTGAATCCTCTGCCAAGTGAAGCGTGTTGTCTGGACAACCTCTACAAACCAGGTGTTCAAACCACAGAGTACAAAGCAAAAGAAAATTGTGTCCTCCCCTCACCAGGGAGCTATCAAGCGGAAATCTCAGCCTTCTGTGGGGACCTGAAGGCTGGGGAGGAAGTGACCCCCCCCCCAACTCGCCCTGGCTGGCTCAGCAGTTTACCATCCCTCCAGAGAACTGGGGCAGCATGGAGGTGACAGCAAGGGCACAGACATATCCGGGCTGTCTGTAGGGGGACCAGGGCTCTTAGACAAAGGTGATGTCCCCAGGGGCACACAAATACACCAACAGACGACTTCCGTCTCCCCCCACCCCCAACCCCCCACCGCCTACTTTTGGGTCAACACAAGGTCTTGGCGGTCAGCTGAGGGAATGGGTTCTAAAAATTGGAAAACACTGCCGGCCTAGACTTCCTGATGGTGTGGGAGGTCAAGGGAAAAGCTTAGCCCTGCCAAAGAGGGCCCCTGAGTGAGAGAACATTGGAAGAAGGAAAAAGGGCCCTTTGCTTGGGAGCTCCCAGGCAGAAGAGGAGAAGGTAGGGCCTTCACTAATTACAGGGCCACTGACAATAATGGCTAACGCTCACACAACACAAGGGCCGGGGCTGGGTGCGGCTCTACCATTCTTCACAACTTTGGGGTGGGGGGCATTATTATTATCATCATCCCATTAATTTTAATAGACCTTAGTTTTTTTTTTTTTTAAGATTTTTTAAAAATTTATTTATTCATGAGAGACACACACACACACAGAGAGAGAGAGAGAGAGAGGCAGAGACAGGCAGGCGGGGAAGCAGGCTCTATGCAGGGAGCCCGACGTGGGACTCCATCCCAGGTGTCCAGGATCACACCCTGTGCTGAAGGTGGCACTAAACCACTGAGCCACTGGGGCTGCCCTAGACCTTAGTTTTTAGAAAAGTTTTAGGTTCACAGCAAAACTGAGTGGAAAGGACCAAGATCTCCCACATACCTTCTGCTCCCACACAGGCACAACCTCCCTACTATCAAATTCCCAGCAGAGGGGTGCATTTGTTCCAACGGATGACCACCCGGGTACCCAGAGCCCATAGCATACGTTGGAGTTCACTCTCAATGTGCATTCTGTGGGTTTAGACGAATGTATAATGAATGATCCACCATTATGGTATCACCCAGTGTAGTTTCACTGCCCTAAAAATCCTCTGTGCTCCGCCAATTCAGCCCTCCCTCCCTGTTTCTCCCCACTGGCACCACTCATCCGTTTACTCTCTCCGGAGTTTTGCCTTCTCCTCATCACCTCATTTTATTTTCTTTAATATTTTGTTTATTTATTCATTCATGAGAGACACACAGAG